ACAGAAAACCTAGTCTGGGATTCCTGCTGCTTGGTAAAAATAAAGGCATAATTGAAAAACATCCAATTGGATCCAGTTTTTCAACTTAGTTCAGATCCCTGATTAGGGAACCCAAAATGTGGATGACAAAGCCAAAGAGCACAAGTAACCCATGTGTCCAAGACACCAGAGTGTCTCTGAGCATGTCTCTGGCACTGCTGTTTCTCTTGATTTATAGGAGTGAGGGTGGTAACATTGTGGTGTGTTTGGCAAAATGGTAACTTCTCGTGGCAGCCTCTGCAGGCTTTAGCCATCAGTTCAGCAAAACATAGAACCATCTGAGCATCTCCATCTCTGCTGGATGGGACATTTATATGTTTACTAAATTTTGAACACATGAGTAGCTTTGTTGGCTGTTGCATTTTGAAGCACACATTTAAATGATTTACTGACCTGGGGCCTGCATGCAGATGTGAATGTTAAAAATTAAAATTAAAGCATCTAGTCCAGATTGTGAATCTGAAATACATCTTTTCAAGGCAGTCTTGAGGATTTAAGCAAACATTTTCCACTGTGTTTAATGGAAGATACAGGCCTTAACTCCTGTAGACTGCTTTGAAAAAGCATCAAATGTTCCAGTGTGAAGCCCTAAATGCTGGATGTCTCTGCATTGCAGGTGCATTCTCAGCTCTGAGGATCTTGTAACATCTCCTGGTCACTGTTTTGCATCAGGATTCTCACTGTCCTTGTCACACTGTGTTGTCAGCCCCTGCAATTTTATCTTTAGCGTCATGGTACTTAGTTAGTTTTATCTTAAAATAATAATTCCTCATCCTGATCGGTACAGTTTCAGTTTCTAGTCTTATTTCTACTTAGCATGTATTGCAGGGCGAGATGAACATTTACAGCATTTAAATTCCTGAGGGAAGCACTTGAAACACTTGACAGTATTAACCATAAGCACTCTTATGGTTAGGGAATAGGAATTTTATAGACTTGTGTGTGTGTTTTTAAATCTCAAGGCT